CCGCGACCCTCAGATTGCGAGTCGAGTGCCTTAACCACCTGGCCATGCCGGGCCTGTAGTTAAGTACAAAGCTACACATTGGGCTATCTATGCTCTGCCAAAACCGGGTATCGAAACCCGGTTTTTAGCGTTGAAATTCCGAAGATATACCACTGTGCCACTGGGGGACCTGTTTTATGTAAGTTTGTTTGTTTAACACAAAGCAACACGTTAAGCTATTTGTACTGTGCTCGCTTCGATACCCCTAGTGGGTATAGTATATATAGTCCATTGTGTATCTTTAGGATTAACAACAAACAAAGAAGCCATTTTTGATTTCTTACGTGACCAATATAAGGTCAGAAACCATTGAAACACTATTTTCTTGAAATGGATTTTGATCTATATTTAAAAAGCATGATGTGCTTAATACGCCTGTAAAAATATAACAAAAAATGAAATTTTCACCACTAGAGGCATCAGTGTCTATTGTGTTCTTTATTTGCTTTTTAATTCATCATTGGGTTATATTACTTTAACACAGAAACCTAAGAATATATTTCGTACCGATATTTAACATCATCTTGATGCTTGAATTTCGGTAAAGTTTTCCAGGCTATTGACTGCGGGCAATATTCATAAAAGTCGTTGCGCCTGTTCTCAGCTACTGAATGTGAAGTTGGATGTTTACGAAGTTGCGGATGTCGCGAATTTGTTTCTTGGTTTCGAATACTGGGTTCGGCTCGAGATAGATAGCGAGAGGCCGACCTGATGGCGTCGTGGTCAGCTTTCGACGGCGGTAAAGGAGATTCAGTTCTTCCGCTTAAAGGTGGGCTGTGGATGGACTGACGACCCCCAGGGGGTGGGGTCTGGACGGAGTAATGAGGAAGCTCCAGTAAGTCCATATTGGAAGATTCCAAAGAAGTTTTTCTACTCTGTTTGGTGGACATATTGGAGATCCCGTGAAGACGGATTACTGGGGTAGTGTGCACTTGTTGCTTTTGCATGACGTCAGAGAAACGTTAACATACGAGGATTTATGTAGGAGATAGAGCTATTCTGGCACTTCAAATCTCTCTCTCTCTCTCTTTAGTTCATTCGTATCTGTTCATATCCAGAATAAAAAATGACATAGTAATAAACAAAACGCACTAGAGATGGCAATTTTTCCTTCTGAAAAGAAAAGAAAATGTATATGTTTACATATTTTACGTAAGTCTAATTAAAAAAAAATCCACTTTGTATTATTACTGGACATCTGTTCCTCCAGTGACACAGCGGTAAATATGAAGGCTTATAAAGCTAAAAACTTGGTTTCGATACCCATGGTGGGCACAGAACTCATAGCCCATTGTGTAGCTTTGTGGTTTACTACAAACAAACAAAACAATTACTGGACACCTTTATATTTGAAACGCAGCTGTTAAGAGTTTTCAATACTCAAAGAAATTATTTAGCGAATTTATGGTTAAATATTTAATTTTGATTTTATGATCGCCAGTCCGTTTATAAATAGTCTCTATACAGACGCCATAATAGTTCCTTCATTTAAACACAATTATTATTTAATAGATTGTACACTACAATTTGTAAAACGGTACATTTTCGTGTTCTTAGAAATCAAAACGCCTCCAGTCAGCCCAGTTCATCAAATGTTACTAGACATTCGCACGGAATTCAATGGTAGCTGTGTTATACGGTGCACGATACAGCTTCAAATCAAAATGATACGAATTGTGATCAACCTTGAAGTATCCAAACACTTAGATAAGTAAATAAATAATAACGATGAACGTTATTGTTATTTAGGCTGCACGTTTGCTACTGTAATTTGCGTTAATTGCTGTTAAGCCTTATACGTTACTAGCTGGAATAAGGTTGAAAGGTTATCTTAGGAGATGAAAAGTTGCTTCCCTTATAGGTAATTGTAAAAAAAAAAAAGCCCATAAAAACTGCAAAACACAAAATGTGAAACCCCAAATTTGTATATATATCCCCATGGACTCAACAAGCCTTCATGCCAAATTAGGTGAAGATCCATCTAAAGGGGCGAAGTAGTGGTAAAAAATGCCCATAGAAACCGCAATACGTAAAATGCAGAACTGAAAATTTATATGTACCCCCGCATGGCCCTAATGAACCTCCATACCAATTTTGGTGAAGATCCATCCAAACTCTACGAAGTTGTTACATGGACATACAACAGACAGTACTATTATATTTATATAGATTCATTTATTACATTCTAGTACGTGTGCTCAGTGGCGTAGCAGG